CAAAGTGCAAAGCTCCATTTGCAGTGACTGAAGGAAGCTGAGAACAATGGAGGCAAATTGAAGGAATGGAGAGAAGCTGGGACATTTTTTTTAAGAACGGGAAAGTGGGATGGCAAAGGATTAAGTCTTGATCCACACTGCCATATAATCCAGTTCCAGAATGAAAATTAACTACATTAAACTGTATGTGGGCCTACAGTGACATATAATCCAGTTCAATGCAGTTAATCTGCATTCTGAAACTGGATTATATGGCTGTGTAGATCCAGCCTGAGTCAATAATAATAAAAATAATCATAATGGGTTGATGTGAGTTGTCCAGCCTGTCTGGCCATGTTCCAGAAGCATTCTCTCCTGATGTTTCACCTGCATTGATGGCAGCCATCCTCAGAAATTGTGAGGTCTGTTGGAAACTAGGCAAGTGAGGTTTATATATCTGTGGAATAATGTCCAAGGTGGGAGAAAAATGTTTCAATTGTCACCTTGATTAGCTTATAATGACCTAGCAGTTTCAAGATGTGGCTTCTTACTGCCTGGGGGAGTCCTCTGTTGGGAGGTGTTAGCTGGCCCTGATTGCTTCCTGTCTAGAATTCCCTTGTTTTTGAGTGTTGCTGTTTATTTACTGCCCTGATGTTAGAGGTTTTTTTTAAAAAAAATACTGGTAGCCAGACTTTATTCCTTTTCATGGTTTCCTTGTTACTGTTGAAATTGTCCAAATGCTTCATCTAGATTTCAGTGGCTTTACTATGTAGTCTGACATGGTGGTTGTGAGAGTGGTCCAGCATTTCTGTGTTCTCAAGTAATATTCGTTTCCAGGTTGGTTCATCAGGTGCTCTACTCTGGCTGACTTCTCTGGTTGAGTTAGTCTGCAGAGCCTTCCATGTTCCTTGATTCGTGTTTGGACAATGCGCCTGCATTTGGTGGTCCCTCTGTAGACTTGTCTACAGCTGCATGGTATATGGTAGACTCCTGCAGAAGTGAGAGGCTCCCTCTTGTCCTTTGCTGAACATAGCATTTGCTGGATTTTCTTAGTGGGTCTGTAGATAGTTTGTAGGATGTGTTACAGCTAATCACCTCCCAACAAAGGATTCCAGGCAGTAAGAAGCCAGACCCTGAAGCTGCTAGGCCATGAAATGCTAATTAAGGTGGCCAATTGAAACATTCACACCTACCTCAAGCAGACAAGAGTTTTTTCTCCCACCCTGAACATTCCACAGATATATAAACCCTATTTACCTAGTTTCCAGCAGACTTCACAACCTCTGAGGATGCCTGCCATAAATGTGGGTGAAACGTCAGGAGAGAATGCTTCTGGAACATGGCCAGACAGCCCAGAAAACTCATAGCAACCCCGTGAAAGCCTTCAACAATACAATAATAGTAATAATCTAAGTTTATATTATTATTATTAATAATAATAATAATAATAATAATAATAATAATAACAACAACAACAACAATAACAATACTCCAGACCTCATGATCATGTTAAAATACTAAGTATGGATTGTCAATGTTGCAATCCCAGGCGACAGCAGGATTGAAGAGAAACAACTGGAAAAGCTGACACAATATGAGGATTTAAAGATGGAACTGCAAAGACTCTGGCACAAGCCAGTCAAGGTGGTCCCAGTGGTGATCGGCACACTGGGTGCAGTGCCTAAAGACCTTGACCTGCACTTAAACACAATCAGTACTGACAAAATTACTGTCTGCCAGCTGCAGAAGATGGGGAAAATGGAAGGAAAAGGGAAGAGGGGCTGACCAAGGGCAAGATGGATGGATGGTATCCTTGAAGTGACTGGATTGATCTTGAAGGAGCTGGGGGTGGTGACGACCGACAGAGAACTCTGGCGTGGACTGGTCCATGAAGTCACGAAGAGTCAGAAACAACTGAACGAATGAACAACAAGCTGTAGAAGGCCACCTTACTGGGATCTGCTTGCATTATTCGCTGATACATCACACAGCCCTAAACACTTGGGAAGTGTGCGACGTGTGATTCAATACAACAACCAGCAGAGTGATCTTGTTTGCTGTGGATTCATCTTGTTGTGTTTCTAATAATAATAATAATAATAATAATAATAATAATAATAATAATATCAGGATGCAGTTAATGCCATTTAACACTTCAACAGCCATGGCTGTATGCTATGGAAATTGTAGTTTGCAAAGTCCTTAACCTTCTTTACTCAAGTGTGCTTGTTTCTCACCAAACTACAGCATCCATAATGCCATAGCCATGACAAAGTGTGAACAAACTGCATTAATTCTGCAGCGTAGATGCACCCCAGGACGATCCTTGCCACAAGCAAAAATGCAAATCTGTATCCTCCAACAATCGCAGTCATACAAAACTTACAAATGGAGCAAGAGATGTATAGTTCTCCCCACCAACTGACAGCCAAGGCTAGATTGCTCCTGTCTATGGAGACTACATTTCTATTTGTTTATTTATTTATTGCCCGGATTTATATTGTTTTGTTTGCACGGTGGGTGAAGAGACAGTTCAGATATCTTTTGCTGCAAAAAAAGCCATTTCCAGGCTTAGCCATCCAAGACTTAGAACACGAGAGTGGCACAAATTCAGAGAATGGAAGAAAACACAAAACAGATCAAAGCAATTCTATTATTTTTTTCCTAATATGCCCAAAGCTTATTCTATTTTGTGGAAGAAAAGAGGCCAAGCTGAAATAGAAAGAAGATCTCCATCATAAAGGATGTCTACCGAAGCAGGCTGGCAATAAATAGATATCTGTATTTATGGAAGGGACAAAAGCTTTCTAGAACAGTGTTTCTCAACCTTCCTAATGCCATGACCCCTTAATACAGTTCCTCATGTCGTGGTGACCCCCAACCATAACATTGTTTTCATTGCTACTTCATAACAGTCATTTTACTACCGTTATGAATCATAATGTAAATATCCGATATGCAGGATGTATTTTCATTCACTGGACCAAAATGGACACAAATACCGAATACGCCCAAATGTGAATGCTACTGGGGTTGGGGGAGGATTGATTTTGTAATTTGGGAGTTGTAGTTGCTGGGATTTATAGTTCACCTACAATAAAAGAGCATTCTGAACTCCACCAGCGATGGATTTGAACCAAATTTGGCACACAGAGCTCCCATGACTGGCAGAAAATACTAGAAGGGTTTGGTGGGCATCGACCTTGAGTTTGGGAGTTGTAGTTCACCTATAGCCAGAGAGCACTGTGTACGAATACTCAATATGCCCAAATGTGAACACTGGTGGAGTCTGGGGAAAATAGACCTTGACATTTGGGAGTTGTAGTTGCTGGGATTTATAGTTCACTACAATCAAAGAACATTCTGTACTCTACCAATGATAGAATTGGCTCAAACTTCCTACATGGAATCCCCATGACCAACATAAAATGCTGTATTTTCTGATGGTCCTTGGCGACCCCTCTGACCAGAGGTGGCCCTATGTAATTTTCAACGGTAAGCAAACAGTATTTTGGCGCCCCCCTCCCCCACACCAATCATGATATATATATTTTCTGTTCGTTGTGGGAGTTCTGTGTGCCATATTTGGTTCAATTCCATCATTGGTGGAGTTCAGAATGCTCTTTGATTGTAGGTGAACTATACATCCCAGTAACTACAACTCGCATATGTCAAGGTCTATTTTCCCCCAAGAGCACCTCAAAAGCGCCCGTGGGCAAAATCAACTATACTGCAAATGCTTACTTTGCATAATGGGTTGAGCTGCCCCTGACACCCCCTCACGACCCCCTCAGGGATCCCGACCCCCAGGTTGAGAAACACTGTTCTAGAATGTATTTGCAGTCAAAATGACTGTTGGTTTCGGACCCAAATGCTCTTTCTATCCAGTCCCTAGAAGGCAAGCAGGGTCAGTCCTGGTTAGGACTTGGATGGGAGACAATAGCAACGCTCCTGCCTTGAAACCTAAGGGACCATTGATAATGCTATATTGGAAAGTTAGTTTTGACTCAGTTCAAGGCATCTTCCTATCGATCCAAGTCATACTTGTCATTCCAATTGAAGCAGATGAGATACTCGAAGTGTAGTTGCATGCCTTCAAGTCATGTCCAACGTATGGAGAAAGGGAAGATGAATAATGGGAATTGTTGAAGAGGTGGAGGAGAAAATGAAGGAGAAAGAGAAGGTGATGGATGGGAAATGCTGAAAATGAGAAAATGAATGAAAAGGAGAAAGTGAATGGTTGGAAGGTGAAGGAGAAAATGAAGGAGAAGGTGAATGATGGGATTATTGGAAATAGGAGAATGAAGAAGGAGAAGGTGAATGATGGGAATTGTTGCAAATGAATGGAAAGGGAGAGGTGAAAATGAAGGAGAAAGCGAATGATGGGAATTGTGAAAGAGATGAAGGAGAAATTGAAGGAAAAAGAAGAGATGAGGGAATTGCTGAAGAGGTGAAGGAGAAAATGAATGAGAAAGAGAAGGGGAATGAGAGGAATTGTTGAAGAAGTGAAGGAGAGAATGAAGGAGAAGGAGAGGGTGAATGATGGGAATATTTGACAAAGTGAAGGAGAGAATTAATGAAGAGAAGAAGGCAAATTATAGGAAATAGTTGAAGAAGTGAAGGAAAAAGAAGAGATGAACGATGGGAATTGTTGAAGAAGTGAAGGAGAAAATGAATGAGAAAGAGAAGGGGAATGATAGGAATTGTTGAAGAAGTGAAGGAGAAAATGAAGGAGGAGGAGAGGGTGAATGATGAGAATTTTTGACAAAGTGAAGGAGAAAATTAATGAAGAGAAGAAGGTAAATTATAGGAAATGGTTGAAGAAGTGAAGGAGAAGAAAGAGGTGAACGATGGGAATTGTTGAAGAGGGGAAATGAAAGAGAAGGTGAACAATGGGAACTGTTGAAGAGGGGAAAATGAAGAAGGAGAAGGTGAATGATGGGAATTGTTAAAGATGGGAAAATGAAGAAGGAGAAGGTGAATGATGAGAATTCTTAAAGACGGGAAAATGAAGAAGAAGGAGGTGAATGATGGGAATTGTTGAAGGGGGAAAATGTAGAAGGAGAAGGTGAATGATGGGAATTGTTGAAGAGGAGAAGGAGAGGAATTCATTGAAGAGGAAGGAAGGAGAAGATGAAAGTGAAGATGAAGAAGAAGCAAATGGTGAAGACTGGGAATTGCTGAAGAGTTCAAGATCAAGATCAATGAGGAAAAGGCCAAAGCCAAGAAGGCGAATTGGCTGAGAAGGTGAGGTTGAAGGTGGAGAAGTCCAAAACACTGAAGGGCTGAAATTGGCCCAGGCTTTCTTTAGAGGACACTGAAGTTGGATCCCTTCTCTTTTTCTCTGGATATTGACTGCTGCCTCCAAGTGGTAGAGTCCTTCTCCTCTGGTTCTCCGGCCTTGGCATTCTCCGGCCGCTGGACACTGGCCTCTTTCCGTATGCTAGAGCCAGTGGGGGCCACACAGGAGCTGGCTGTCCGCCTCTGCCTTTGGTGCGCCTCCTTCCCACACTTGCAGAGGCCCTTGAAGGCCAGGCGGAACTTCTGGGACATGGCGTTGTAGATAATGGGGTTGATGGCGCTGTTGGTGTAGATGCAGACCCTGCAGAAGAGGAGGAACCAGCGGTCCAGGTAGGGTTGCACCACAAAGGAGTTGACCAGCACCAGGGTCCGGTAGGGCATCCAGAGCAGGGCAAAGAGCACCACCACCACCGCCAGCATCTTGGTCACCTGGAAAGAGGAAGGACATTGAGGAGGGGGAGAAGAAAGGGAAAGAAAAAGAGAAGGAGAAGGATGAGAATTGATTGAAGAGGAGAAGGTGAAGGCTGGCAATAGGAGAAGAAAGTGTTGAGGAGGAAGAGGAGAAAGTGAAGGAGGAGAAGGTGTAAGATGAGAATTCTTGAAGAGGTGAAAGTGAAGGAAAAGTGAAGATGTTGGATTAATTATGAAAATTCTTGAGGAGGTGAAAGTGAAGGAGAAGGTGAATGATGAGAATTCTTGAAAAGGTGAATGTGAAGGAGAAGGTGAAGTAGAAGGTGAATGAATTATGAGAATTCTTGATGAGGTGAAAATGAAGAAGGTGAATGATGAGAATTCTTGAAGAGGTGAATGTGAAGGAGAAGGTGAAGTAGATGTTGGATTAATTATGACAATTCCTGAAGAGGAGAAAGTGAAGGAGAAGGTGAAGATGGATGAATTATGAAAATTCTTGAGGAGGTGAAAGTGAAGGAGAAGGTGAATGATGAGAATTCTTGAAGAGGTGAATGTGAAGGAGAAGGAGAAGGAGATGTTGGATTAATTATGACAATTCTTGAAGAGGAGAAAGTGAAGGAGAAGGTGAAGATGGATGAATTATGAAAATTCTTGAGGAGGTGAAAGTGAAGGAGAAGGTGAATGATGAGAATTCTTGAAAAGGTGAATGTGAAGGAGAAGGTGAAGGAGAAGATGAATGAATTATGAGAATTCTTGAGGAGGTGAAAGTGAAGGAGAAGGTGAATGGTGAGAATTCTTGAAGAGGTGAAAGTGAAGGAGATGAAGGAGATGTTGAATTAATTATGAGAATTCTTGAAGAGGAGAAAGTGAAGGAGAAGGTGAAGATGGATGAATTATGAAAATTCTTGAGGAGGTGAAAGTGAAGGGGAAGGTGAAGGAGATGTCGGATTAATTATGAGAATTCTTGAAGAGGAGAAAGTGAAGGAGAAGGTGAAGATGGATGAATTATGAAAATTCTTGAAGAGGTGAAAGTGAAGGAGAAGGTGAATGATGAGAATTCTTGAAAAGGGGAATGTGAAGGAGAAGGTGAAGGAGAAAATGAATGAATTATGAGAATTCTTGAGGAGGTGAAAGTGAAGGAGAAGGTGAATGATAATTCTTGAAAAGGTGAATGTGAAGGAGAAGGTGAAGTAGAAGATGAATGAATTATGAGAATTCTTGAGGAGGTGAAAGTGAAAAAGGTGAATGATGATAATTCTTGAAGAGGTGAAAGAGAAAATAAAGGGTAAGAAGTCAAAGTGAAGGACAAGGTGAAGGTGAAGGAAAGGTGAATGATGAGAATTCTCAAAGAGGTGAAAGTGAAGATGAAGGAGAAGGTGAATGACGAGAATTCTCAAATAGGTTAAAGTGAAGAAGGTGAAGGAAAAGGTGAGTGATGAGAATTCTCAAATAGATGAAAGTGAAGAAGATTAGGGAGAAGGCAAATGATGAAACAAATGAAGAAGTCAAAGTGAAGGACAAGGTGAAGGATTGGTTGAAAATGGAGAAGGTGAAGAATAGGGATGTCTTGAAGGTGAGGAAAGACAGTGAAGTTGAAGGCTGGCAATTACTGATGAGGGGAAGAATGTGTTAAATTGGTTGAGACTATATGAGATAGGAATTGAAAAACCAGAGAAAAATGTGCTGCAGGAAGTCCTGCTAAGACACCGTTTTGACAGTTTAATCAACTTTCTCCATGTTTTTATGATAGCACCCATTAGGAAAACAACATTTATAACCCAGAAACAAAAATTGTATTACAGTATATAGTGTTATGGAAGAGAAGGAGAAGAATTTGTTGAAAGGGGGAAGGAGAAAATGAAAGAGAAGGTGAAGGAGACAGTGACGGACGGAGATTGAAGAGGCGAGGATGAAGGATGGGAATTAGTTGAAGAAGTGAAGGGTGGAAATTTGTTGAAGGTGAAGAAAGAAGGTGAATTTGAGAGATGGAAATTATTGGAAGAGCAGAAGGAGAAGAATTGGTTGAAGCAGGGAAGGAGAAAGATGGGAATTAGTTGAAAAGAAAGCAAAGGATGGGAATTTGTTAAAGGTGAAGTTGAAGGTTTGATATTGCTGAAGAGGAGAAGAATTATTGAAGAGGGGAAGAAGAAGGAAAGAGAAGGCGAAAGGAGGGTCTACAAACAACAGGATCATCAGCATGGAAAATTGAACAAAAGCACCTCCCCATGGCCAGAGTTGAACATCACCTCCAGAGATGAAAAGGGAAACCTTTGCCTCGTTATTGTATGCCATTGTTCACTATCAAAAAGGCCTATACGAGGGGTGTTCATTAAAGATGTCCTCTGACCCACTTCTATTTACCAAAGGATGCTGAAACTGCACATGTGTAATGATATCAGTCTCTATAGGTGACGTGCCAATTTACAACTCAGAACTGATCACGGTCTTGTGACAGGTGCTGAAGTGGTGTGAAGTTTGAGAAAGGTCCCAGTGATATACAGAGCAGTCCTCAAGTTCCTTTCCTGGAAAGGATACACACCAAAGGAGAAGTTCGATGAAAGAGGTTTCTGGTGAGGATTCCCCATCAGATGATGGAGTCAAGAACTGGCATCATCAATTCCAATGTGGTCGGACTTCGGTGGAAACAGCTCCAATTCCAGGTCGACCCCACTCTGCTATTGAGGAACACACCATCCAGCAAGTGGAGGTCACCATTTTGGAAAATTGTTGTGTAACCATTTGCCACCTAGCCCAAAATGTCAAGATGAGTGTTGGGTCTGTGGAAAATACCACCCAGGACCTCTTCACATGCATAAGGGATGCACTTGCTGGATCCTCCGGCTGCTCACACCTTTCAAGAAGCAGGAGCAAGTCGAATGCTCTTAGGCTCTCTTGACAATGATGTGTCATGGAAAACAGGAGGACATTTTCAACAAATTGATCACACAGGGTGAAAGCTGAGTCCATCACTCTGATCCTGAGATTAAAGTCTAGTTGATACAATGAAAGCCTCCTGACTCACCACCTCCAAAGAAGGCACGTGCCCAACTCTCGGCAGGCAAGGTCATGCTCACAGGATTTTGGGACCAGCACGGAGTAGGATTGATGGATTTCCTAGCAAAGGGTGCCATGATCACTGAGGCATATGATGCTTCACTGCTGTGGAAATTGTGGGAGGTTTGGATGGGAGGCCATCCAAACCAAAAGACAATGTGGCATGCTCACCAAAGTTGTCCTTTGCCTTCTGCAAGATAATGCACCAGTTCACAACTCACCTGTTGCCCAAATGGAAGAAGAAGGCTCCTGCGGCTTTGACATTCTCCTGCACCCCCTTATTCACTGATCACACCATTGGATCCCACCCCCCCCCCCCCCCCGGCACAATGTTTGGATTTTGATTCAGTTCTCTTTTTATCTAAGAGGCTTTCCAAAAAAAAGTATTAAAAAGAAAAATGTAGTCTCAATTGAGCCCTGCAATAAAGCTGAAATATCCTCCAGGATTCTTCTAGCTTCTTGGCTGGCAGCTGTCCCTGGTGATAATTCAACACAAAAGCAACACAAAGCCAATTTATTGGCAGGCCGAGGCAGACAAAACTTGGCAAACGGAAAGGGCAGGTGACACATCCAATGGGTAATTCTTACTTAAAAGGCTCTGCTGCAAAAAAATCACACAATATTGTTATTCCAAAGCTCGGCATCCCTCCAGTCTCAGATCAAGGATGGAAAGGTCAGGAAGTATTTCATTTATCTTCCCAAGGGCGAGATTGAAAGCATTCTGTACATGCTCAAGAGGATGCTCTTAATGGCTGCAAGTTTCTATTGAAACAATTCCCGTCTTGCTTTGTAAATTAACATCCACTAAAGGCAGTTTTCTTTCTTCAATAATGATGCTGCTGCTGCTGCTGATGATGATAATGAGAATGATGATGGTGGTGGTGGTGATGGTGATGATGATGCTTGTGATAAAGATGGTGATGATGATGACGATAATGATGGTGATGATGATAATAATGAGAATTATGCTGATAGTGATGATGGTGATGATGATTATGATTATGGTGATTGTGATGGTGGTGATGCAGATGATTATTATGATGGTAGTGGTGATGACGATGATGATGATGGTGATGGTGGTGATGCTGATGATGGTGATGATTATTATGATGGTTATGATTATGATGGTGGTGGTGGTGATGATTATGATGGTGATGGTGGTGGTGATGATGCTGATGCTGATGATGGCGATTATTATGATGGTGATGATGATAGTGAAGGTGATTGTGATGATGATGATGGTGATGATGCTGATTATGATGATGATGATGTTATGATGATGGTGGTGGTGGTGGTGGTGATGATTATGATGGTGGTGATGACAGTGGTGATGATGGTGATGATGGTGATGATGGTGATGATGATGATGGTAATGGTAATGATGACAGTGAAGATGATGATGGTGATGATCCTGATGGTGATTGTGATGATGATGGTGATGATGCTGATGATGGTGGTGGTGGTGGTGATAATGATAAATATGTTGATAGTGATGATGATGATAGTGATGATGGTGGTGATGATGATAGTAAAGATGATGGTGATGGTGATGTTGCTGATGGTGATTGTGATGATGATAGTGATGGTGATGTTGATGATGGTGATGCTGATGGTGGTGGTGATGATGATGATGGTGATGATGGTAATGGTGATGGTAATGATATTGCCTATGAAAAAGAGTCCATGTTTTTACATAAAGAACATTTATACCTTTACAGCCATCCTGCTGTTATATTTAATCGTTTATATGGAGTTTTAAAGACATACAAATCCAGCAGTGCTATTGGAAGCAGGCGGAAATTACATGTAACATGCCCATTGTAGAAAATTGTAATAACATAATTCTTTGGTGATACTGCCCAAAGGCTAATCAATAGTATTTATTTATTATTTATTATTATTTAATAACATAATTAGCACATTGGATTTCAGAGTTGACGTTGAGCATAAGTAGCAATTGGTTTTTTTAAAAAATTGCAGTGACCAACGTTGTTTCCACACTACAAAGTTATAGCACTTCAATCCCACTTTAGTTCCCATGGCTGCATTTTATGGAATTCTGGGTTCTTCAGTTTGGTTGGTGAGGGATTCAGGACTCTAAGGTTGGATCTACACTGCCCTATATCCCAGGATCCGATCCCAGATTATATAGCAGTGAAGACTCATATAACCCAGTTCAAAGCAGATAACCTGGGATCAGATCCTGGGATATAGGGCAGTGTAGATCCAGCCTAAGGCAGTATCTAAAGGGAGTGGATTACAACTTTTCAAGAAGAGAGTTTGAAGCACCTTCCCAAACATAATAATACTACTCATCATCATCGTCATCATAATCATCATCTTTATTTATGTCCCACACTATCTTCCCACTGGGAACAAGGTGGTTAACAACATACAGCAGCAAATATTCAATGCCGTAAGGTGCAACCAACAGTAAATATGACTACCATAAGTTAAACAATAACACATTAAATACCAGACTGCTGTCTGCCACACTTTTGGATAGTAAAAGGGTCTCTTATTTCTTGCTGATGTTCCTAAAATTTGTAAATAACTGGCAGGATGTTTTGCAGCTAAAACATGCTGACTCCATCAGTTCCAGGCAGATGCCAGTTTTCTTTCTTAAGTAAAGGTGTATTGTGTTTGCTTCCTTAACTTAAAAGAGTCATTGCCTTTGACTATGTAAACATGTTGTTTTCAACTCAAGAGTTCAGCAGTTAATAGCTAATCATGGTCTCACCTGTCAAGCATGTGATAAATATAATAATTATAATATATAATACAATGCACTTCCCTGAAATATTCAAAACACTCTCAATACATCATGGCAAGGAGCAATTCTGCAATTGGTTGGATTGACCAGCCAAAGGTGGATATCTCACCTGTTTCCTGGAGGAGACGTGGACCCTGCTTCTTGGCCCAGTAGTCCGGTTCTGGGTGGCATCTTTGCCGTCTCTTATGGTTGTATCCTGTGGCAAAACGGGACTGTGGAAGAGGACTTTCCCAATGAGAGCATAGAGGACGGTGACAAGGGACAGCGGGGTGACAAAGAAGAGGGCAAAGTCCAGCAGGTAGATGGGCAGGTAGAGGTTGCGAGAGACCTTGTAGCCACACTCCAGCTGCTGGCTGGCGTTGACTGCGATGTCCACCAGGAAGAACCAGATGAGGCAGTAGAGCGAAGTAACCACCCAGACCAAGGCAATGATGCGCTTGGCGCGCGAGACAGTGCACATCGTCTGGGCCCTGATTGGGTGGCAGAGGGCAATATACCTTGGAGATGACAAAGTGCCGGAGAAAGAAAGAGGAAAGGATGGACCCAGAATTAGGAAAAGAGACCTAAAGTTGTATTAATGTTGCATGCATAAGTCCTAGTATATTGCAGGCATTGCTCTGAGTTACAGACATCCGACTAACAAACAACTCCCAGTTAAGAACAGTTGGGACAATGGCAAGTGGGAAGGGAAGGGAAATCCACTCCTGGAAGAGTTATTATCATGGGGAAAATGGGTCTCTGCTGGAGCTTTATCCCCAGTTCTTGTTTCTACAACAATTTATTTATGCGTTGCTGTGGCCCATTCTGGTGGTCATGGACTTTCTGTGTGGGAGGTTTGGTCCAATTCTATCGTCGCTGGGGTTCAGAATGCTCTGTGATTGTAGGTGAGCTATAAATCCCGGCAACTGCAACTCCCAAATGTCGAGATTCTATTTTCCCCAAACTCCACCAGTGTTCACATTTGGGCATATTGAGGATTTGTGTAGAGTTTGGTCCAGATCCAACATTGTTTGAGTCCACAGTGATCTCTGGATGTAGGTGAACTACAACTCCAAAACTCCAAAACTGCCCACCAAACCCTTCCAGTATTTTCTGTTAGTCATGGGAGAACTGTGTGCCAAGTTTGGTTCAATTCTATCGTTGGTGGGGTTCACAATGCTCTTTGTTTGTAGGTGAACTATAAATCCCAGCAGCAACAACTCCCAAATGACAAAATCATAATTTTTTGAGTGATGGTCACTTCTTGTGTTGTGAGACATTTTGTTGCCAAATTTGGTGTGATTTCATTCATTGGTTCTTTTGTTTTTAGGGTACTCATTACGCAGAGAACATTTATATATAGATAGATTTATAGCATTTATATTCTGCCCTTCTCACCCCACAGGGGACTCAGGGCGGATTACAATGTACATATACATGGCAAACATTCAATTCCATACAGTCAATGCCATACAAACATTCACCTCACTACCTTTGAGGATGCTTGCCATAGATGCAGGCGAAACGTCATGAGAGAATGCCTCTAGAACATGGCCATATAGCCCGAAAAAAACTACAACAACCCATTTAATGCCATAGACACACGACATATATAGACAGACACAGAGGCAAGTTAACATTCCAACTTATCATGAGGGTATTCTGGGCACTAGGGAAGTTGTTGCTTCACCGTCCATTTGTGACACTGATGAAGTACTTCCTCATTCTTTGCAGGCTTGCTGGAGAATTTTATGGCATCGTAAATTAGTTAAATTAGCCTCCTCACATAAGTTGTACCTAAATTTCCTACTTGACAGATGCAACTGTCTTTTGGGCTGCAAAGGTCGACAGCAAGCTACACAAATTGGTCAGACACTCACTCCAACCTGGGCTGGCTTCGAACTCATGACCTTTGGGTCAGTAGTGATCTTAATGCAGCTGACTCCCAGCCAGGTGCGCCACAGTCCTGGTGCCAGATTTTCCAAAATCCAATTCTCACAAGGACAGAAAGGGAGGTGAAATGTTCTGAACAAGGGCACAGACAGCAAAACAAACATCGCAGTTGTGTTTACTCTTCCCTATGCTATCCAAAGCAGGCATGCATGTGTGTGCATGTATATGTGTGTGCATGTTTATATATGTTTGTGTGTATGTCTATATTTCAAGTACAATGGAATTCTAGACATAGGGATTGAATTGTGCCTTCCTGCCTGGGAGACAGGGTTGGACTGGATGGCCCTTGGGAGTCCCTTTCAAGTATAATTGAACTATAGACTACCTGGAAGTCCAGTGGAGTCTTCTCTATGATTCTGCAATGCGTCTCTCCTTACCTTTCCACGGTGAAGGCCGTAATGGAGCAAGACGAGGCGTTGATGCCCAGGTACTGGAAGTAGGTGATACCAAGGCACCCGGCAAAGCCGTAGACCCAGGTCCCAGCCAAGCTGTCAGTCACGTTGGGCAGCCCGGCGGCCACCAGCACCATCAGATCAGCCACGGCCAAACTGACCAGGTAGCAGTTGGTCGGCGTCCGCATGTGCCGGGCCGTGAGCACCACCAGCACCACCATGACGTTGCCGACGATGCCGACCACACAAATACCCAACACGAGGAAGACAGAGATGACCTTGTATTGTAGCAGACCCAACGCAGCATCTAGGGACACGTTGGTGGGGTTCTCCAACTTGCTGCTACTATTCTCCATGGTTCCAATGAAAACGATGTGAAGCTATGCTCAGTTTGGGGAGACAACAGATTTTTCTTTTCTTTTCCTTTCTGTTCCAAGTCCATTGATGATGGACATCAACCTGAAATACTGAAATGGATTCAGATCACATGATGAAAAATGGAAATGTACCCAAAGCTATTGAGGACTGCTTTGGATGTGTTCGCACTGTAGCATTAACACAGTTTGATGCCACTCAATCCTATGGGATTCTGGGAGTTGTAGTTTGGGTGAACTATAACTCTCAGGATTCTATAGCATTAAGCCATAGTCGTTAAAGTGGTACCAAACTGCATTAATTCTACAGTGGAGATGGACCCAAGAGGCAGTAGATCCAAAGACATGGTCCATTACCTCACTTTAGGTTGACTTCCTTGGAAAGTTGCTTCTTCCCATTCAAAACAGGACACCAGAATGGGGTAATCCTTTGTTAGGATCCTTCAGAATGCATCTGATGTTACAGCAAGAAGTGGAAGGAGAAACAAACAAACACAAAACCCTCCAAATACAAATGGAGACTCTAATAATAGAATAAGAATATGAACAGGCAATTGCAGAAGGAGAGAAGGGAAGTCTTTTCCCTGCCTTTCTCTCTTACTATGGGAGCTGAACTATGTCTCCCAATGCAATCAGAAGTGGCATAACATCCATTGTGGTGCATCTAGACCAGCATTTCTCAACTTGGGGTTCAGAACTCCTAGGAG